TGCGATCGGAAAACTTTATTTTTAATATTATATTATATTATAAAAATATTTAAAAATGCAATAGCGATACTCATAAAAAATCGCAAGTATTAAAAACTGGTTAAATAAATAATTGGGTATTATTATTGGGATTCTTCTGAAGAGAAACAGAGTTTTCTGATCGAAAAATATTGATTTGCAAGAATTCTATACCATTTCTAGGAAAAATTATAAAGTGCATGGAAAACTTTGAGCGCTTTGAGCGACCACTAAATATTTTTTTTTTATTTCGAAATAAAAAAAAAACAGGGATATAATTTTTTTCGATGCAGGCCTAGGAGGCGAGAGCATTAAAATTCCGACTTTACTTTTTCCTCACATGCATTTTTGGACCACCCTAATGAACATACATATGCATGCGCCTGGCGCTACATAAAATGTATTCATGAATGAAAAATGTTCACATTGAAATATGAGACTTTTCTAGTTGGTTGTGCAAGTTTTATAAAAATGCAGACAGTTACAACGGCGAGGGAGACATCGAAGCTAGTGATACAGCGAAAATGCTTAAAAACTTCCGACTACGCTGGCGTTTTGTTATAAAAATTGCATTTCAAAGTATGAGTATTGTACTCATATTATTTTTCCAACAAAACTTAACAAGATTGTGATTCCTAGACAGCTCTAAAAAATGGAGCAAAAAAAAAACCAATGAGAAATGGTAAACATGTAAAGGTCCTTATGTTTACAAAATTTCTCTTCAAGATACATAGTGTGGCAATGAACTTTCAGTTTATTCTATTTCGAGTAAGAAGAAGATATGTAGTGTTCAGAGCACATTTGGTTAATATGTATGAAACTGTTGCAGCTGTCAAGTTAGTGTTAAAATATTGGAAACATATGATCTTCCAAAATGCTACGAGTTAGTAGAAATGTGTAAGGGGACTTTTGACTTTTTTGAAGGAAACATGAGGTTACCAGTGGTGTGAGAGGCATTTGTTTATTAATCATTTTGAGCAAAGGTCAAAAAACGCAGCGAAAGCACTCAAAATAAATGGAAGATAAATAAGTCAAATTGATTAATAAGTGCTATGTGAAAATGTTTTTTTCTTTGGCAGGCTAGTAGATAGACACGTGTAAACGGGCAAGGGGTGGAGACAAACCCCACTGCGCGATGTTCATGTCGGCTATAAAAAAAAAAAATTTATTTTTATTTCTGCAAACTGGGAGCAAATCATAAAACCACTTCAAAAGGTAACAGTTTCCGCTAATTTTTTACATGAAACGGAGAGTTTCGTCTACCGCTACCGACCGCAAAAGATGTTATAGGTTTTGCAGATGATATATTATATACATATGATGACTATACCAGATGTTGAATAAAGGTCAGCAACGCGTATGATTTGGCACGGAAATGCGTGAACAGCGAGTAGTCCTTATAAGTTCCCGTAAAAAGCGGAAGTCGAAACCCCTGAGATAGGGAAAACACAAGCTAAAATCTTTGGGACAACGACAGAATCCGCTTTGTTACAAATGTGTACCACGTGCGGAAAAAAGCATTAGGAAACAGTGAACGCTAGCAATATTATTCACTACGGATCTACGTTTTGTATTTTTCCTCATTCTGGGTAACTTTGATTGAGTTTAAATCCTTCAGGTAGCCATGTGATGCAACGACAGACTTTATGTGGTACTACTTCTCCTTCGCATCCATAACTTGTATTAATGTTTTGGTTGGGGAGACAGAGCGCGCTTATCTAGGAAAAAGCCAGACCTCTGTATAAATATGCTGACACAATTCCGGCGATCCTGGCGCGATCGATTAGCGACTCGTTCAGGTCGTAGACCGAATGCTGGTATGCATGGGTAGGTAGAGTATAGCTTGCGGAGTTTTCGTTGAGCAGCTATGTGGGAAGGAGCACCTTGCACGAGCGAGTCTTATCCCCTTTTCTTTGTATAGCTTTGAGAGGAGTAAAAAATAAACAATTTAATTCTTTTGAATATCAATGTTTCGGACCCATCGAGCACAGCTTTCACACTTCATGCAATGCTCTGCTCCTTTTCTGTCTAAAATTCTTATAGCTTTCGTGAACCTATAACCATGGCCGTCTATTTGAACGCAAAATAGTCCCTCGGTTTTCGAGATATCCGACTGAAGTTTGGTATGCGGATGTATTTTTAAAATGTATTATTCATTTGTCGGACAACTATAACGCAATATTTCTCCAATACAACGTATTCTTCAGATATGAGATTTTTGTATAATTCCTCAATTTATGAAGCTAGCAACATGAATTTTTCTCAATGTCAACAGAAAACTTTCAGTGAAACGTACAAAGATCGGGTCACTATAACCAATAGCTTTCATACAACTGATGGTTCAGATATGGGACTTTACTTGAAAAGTCCTTCATTTGGATGGCTAATTGCATTATTTGGGGTTAGTGGGGGACCTATAAAAATTTGTTACTATTAAAAAATGGGACTTTTAAGAATTCTATATCTCTAACAGCCGGTTTCACCAGCAATTTAAATGGAAAATGATTATTTATTTTCTGTCAATTTCCATAAAAAATTCAAAAAATGAAAATAATTTCTCACTTAAATTGCTTTCGTGAAATTGGCTGTAAATATTTTTTAATTTCAAAATAAACAACAGGGGTGTTATTTTTTTTCAGTATGGAACAATCCTAGGGGGTGAGAGCATTAAAATTCCGACTTTACTTTTTTGGGCCGCCCTTATCTAAGCATTACATTATCTAAGCATATCAATCTAATCATATCGATATGCTAGTTCATACATGCACTTATCAGCAGAGTGTAACTATTTTGTAAGTACTAAATATCTAGTAAAAATTTATGTATGAAGTAAAATATGTACAAACATTTAATAAAGTGCGTAGTTTTCGTATTTTTATCATGACATAGAAGCGTCTGCAATATTAAGTAACACAATTTTTGAACTAGCACTGGAATATATATTTTTCAACACATGCAGACATCTTCAACGATTGGAAATCGTAAAAAAAAATCGAATTTAACAGACAAACAAAGGTACTTCATTAGCTAAAAATTTTGCGGAAATGTTCCGTCGTCATTCCATTTGGATATTGTACACGTTGTTCAAAAATGAATCAACTCAAAATTCACTGTTTGTCATTAAATGTTAAAAATTACAATTTTGAAAACATGTCTTACAGAGTACTCATGAAACTTTATAAGAACCAAAGATCTTCAGTTGCAAACTTAAAAAAAAAGTCCGGGTTTTTAATAAACATTGAAACTAATTTAATGTTGTAGTAGTTGTTTTTAAATTATTTTTGGACGTTTGTTAGTAAGCTACTCCACTGTGTAACTACAAAGCGGAATTCCGAAATTATATATGTAACTAATATCAGATTTAAATCATTGACACCCAGGTATCACTCATACAGGCCTATAATTGATTATTTACGCTGCTAAATTCGTTGACCTATAAATAACTTGTTAGTAGATAACTACAAATGTACATAAATATGCATCTAAAGTCATAACGCTTTGCCGGTGAATTAAAAAAAAAAAACAAGACTTGTGGGAATGCAATACATACATATGTATGTACTTATATTTGTCGGTACAAATGTACTATGTATGTACCCTGCAGGGAAAACCCGAACTAATGAATCAAATTTCGAGTTCAGCACAAGTTATTTATAGCCAAAAAAAAGAACCAGTCTGATAGTAAATAGATCCTCACCAGTCCGAAAGAAGTGAAACGTGGTAATTTTACACAACTATTTTATTTAACTTTTTAAAATTACAAATGGCTAGCTCAGAGTGAAATGTTCATAGTCCACGTTTTCTAAAAAATAACAATATATTTTAATGCAAGAAGCAAGAATAATTAAAAATGCTTAATTTACTAAAAGATAGAACTACCGACATATTTTATTTTTAACCGTTTTCATTAAGTGATACGGTAATTTGTTCAGCTCAAAAAAAAGTCTCAGAAAATATGTTGAGTTCCAAAGAATACACAAAATTTTTCAGTAGAACTCTAGATCTAAGGTGGCGAATTTACTGCTGTTTCGGAAATATTGGAAAAGTGATGCAGAGCGAACTAAGTAGATCTCATATGTGTCGAATTTAGTCATGGTTATTGTCTAGAACTGAACCAGCTCACCGCTAGCGCGTTTCCCTACAGGGTATGCACACACAACTCCATACATACATACATATGTATATAATAGCCCTGCAGGAAATGTATCTAACTACAAGCTAACTTTAAGTTGATTAGGAAGGAGCTAAAAGTCACTTATTATCTGTATATTTTCTTTGACGAAAGCTAACTATATTTCTATGGCGATGGCCGCGAAATAGTCAAGGGTGGTTTACCTCTGCATTAGATGTAGTCAAGGGTGGTTACCTCTGCATTTGATGTAACTAACTTGTCACTAACTACTTTTGGACATAAAATATCAATAGGAAAAACAAAAATTTTTTTTTATATTTTTTTATTTTTATTTACTTTATTTATTTTATTACATTTCATATTTGTTTACATATTCTCCTGTAGGTGGTCCCATATTCCAACTCCGTCAGATATAACTTCAAAATGATAATATGAAATTTCGATCTTCCTTTTATTTGTCCTCAATTCGAAAAAGTATTTGCGAAGTGCAGGATTTTTAAATAGAAACGCGTTTAAAGAAAACAATCTCGAGCTTTACTCCTGCATTACTTGTCCACTTGTTTCAAGTCAGCTTTTTGTAGCTAACTACAAGTTATATATTTTATAGAAATCCCGCAAAAAAGCTAACTACAAGTAGGTTATTTTTTATCAATTGATAATTTTTTCTGCAGGGAGTACATGAATTATTTACACATTTAAATTATGTTGTATCGCGCATTGATGCGAAGTGTTGACTCACTTGTGGCAATTAATGGAAATTATAGCAACAGAAATAATAATATAGTGATGGCAAATAATATGCGAATGTCTAGAAAGGCAGAAACAGGCGTTAAGCGCCTAAAAGTAGCACTCAATTAAGTAACTAATTTCAGAAATGCATTATAATTTATGGAATTACATGATTGTTGTTTTACTTTCTTGTAAAAGTATACCGATTACACATTGCAATACCGATTAAGACTTTCCTAGGTTACCTAAATAGTACCGGCCACACCGCACAGTGCAAGAGCCCCATATAAAATATTGCTAAAAGTACCAATTGTGCTACAATTTTATGGAATTTTTTATCTGTGGTATTTTTAATTAGGAATGTATGTAGATATGTGAAAAATCGCAAGCCGCCACGCCCACTAGGGGGCGGATATCGTAAATGTTATCCAATTTTAATGCAATTCGGTTGGTACCTTAGTTTTAACTAGAAAAATTTAAATCTGAAATATGGGCAAACTCGGCCCACTGCCACGCCCACTAGGAGGCGGATATGGTAAATGCTATCCGATTTTAACGAAATTCCGTTTGTATCTAAGTCATAACTAGAAAAATTTAAATCTGAAAGATGGAAAAATCGGCCCACTGCCATACCCACCAGTCACAATTGGTATAACATCTAACAGACCTACTCTTTAATGTAGTGTGCGAAGAAATACGCCACCCTATGATATTTTATGTACTCCTCCATTGCTGGACAAAGGTACTACACAGCAAATTATAGTAAAACCGCAACCCAATTCTGGTCGAAACGGGAAGTCGGTGATACGATCAAGAGATAGAGTATCCTTGACTTGGTAATTGGTAACATAGCCACTCCTTTAACTAGTCTTGTACGAGTTGAAGTTCGAAGGCCATTTAGAGGTTGAAAAAGGCACCTTCGAGAAAAAAGTCTTAAACAAGAGTTAAGTATTTTTATCCTCCGAATCCGAATCTGCAGTAAAAATGGTCGAAATCGGAAATCGGTAATACGGCTAAAAGATAGAGCCATACCCGATTTGGCAGTTCATCAGTTAGGCGTTATTCAATAAAAAAAAAACATTTCCCACCATTTTAGAGGCGGTGGACGGGTGTTCTAGGACACCCTATATATTATCCATCACAAGCACTCCGAATTTCTTGGCGGGTAAAACAAATAAACGAATTCACAACACCTGCATTATGCAAGTATGCAGGTAACTACTATTTACATACATAGGTACATATGTACATATGTAATGCAATCAAAACCAAAATAGTGCTCACACTCTACATATTACATACGCACATTACATTAGTGAATTTCATAATTAAATGCCATTACGCTTGAATAATTTTCTTCATTTGCACACAAAAAAACGAGAGTAATTTTTCTTTTGGTGAAGTTATTTTTGCATAAATTTTTATGATACCCCGCTCTTAGCGTGGAATTTTGCTAATTAATTTTGCAGGAAAATTATTGACGTAGTAAATGTACATAGATAACCAGTTAAATAAGTTAAAACTACAACTTACCAAATTCGTCGAAGTACTGCTTTTCGCGTCATTAACTTTTGGTAATGTAGATGGATTTGTGGCTCTGGGTGAACTGAAATGAAAAAAAAAAATTGTTTTGAATAAAAAAAAGTGTTCGGAAGGCAGAAGGAGAAAGGCCAAAAGGGTCAAGTTAAAGTCTTTTCTCCAATTTTAATGTAAAAACTTATCTATTTACGACACACAGTTCTCGTAAAAGGAATTGTGTTCTAACATAAATCTTAAATATGTACATATATAGGTATGTAGATATTAAAATATTTTGTATGCAGTTATAGTATACGCACTGTAATAGTTGAGTGTAATAAAGAATACAAATTCAGGATAAACGTAAAGTAAAAACATGTAAATATGTATATAAGCGCATAGTAACGACCAATGAAAGAAACTTAGAAACTCAAATTAAATAACTCTCTTGAAGTGCCTAAAGCAGTAGTAAATAATTTTAAGGATTATACAAATACACATTCGGAGCTATTTAGCTGAAGTCGATGAAAAGTTTATGCATTTTATGAGCTAAAAATTGTGTTGCGAAATCATGGAATAAAGTCTATAGCAACAACATGTATTAGAAATTGTTTTTGATTGTTTCCTTTCTTAGGCTTAATCGCCTGTGAAAATATTCGTTCTGTAATGCGATAAGTGTATTAGGATGGTCCAAAATTGCATGTGAAAAAAATTAAGTCCAAGTTTTAATGCTCTCACCCCCTAGGATTGCTCTATATAGAAGAAAATATAGCCCTGATTTTTTTTTTTATCTCGAAATGGAAAAATATTTAGAGGTCACCCAAAGAGCACAAAGTTTTACGCGTATTTTATGTGGGGAAAAAACAATTTTTCGTACAAATGGTATAGAATTTTTTAAAGCAATATTTTTCGAAAACTCTGTTCTCTTCAAGAGGCTTCCAATAATGATACCCAATTGCTAATTTTAACATTTAATCCCCTTTGCACCTATATGTAAGTGTTTGGCCGCGCTTCTCCTCCGATTTGTGGAGTGCGCCTCGATGTTGTCACACAAAGGGGAGGTACCTACAGTCTAACGCCGACTCCGAACGGCGAATATATTTTTATGAGAAGCTATTTTTCATGGCAGAAATACACTCGGGAGTTTTGCCATTGCCTGCCGAGGGGCGACGGCTGTTAAGAAAAAAAACTTTTTTCTATATATTTTTGCGATTTTTGTCCCATCTTTTGGACCACCTTATGTACAGATATACACGGAAACTCAGATTTGTGCATCTAGTGGGTTACGTTCCGTTCCTAGCAAAAAACTCGTACTCTTTTCAAATTATAAAATTTGATCTACTTTAGGACTTTCCCTTTAAAATATTGCAACCGAATTTCGTCATCTGTGAACTGAAATGTTTAGGAAAATCCTAAGAAAATTGCGTGCTTTAAAAAAAAAAAACTCTTAAACGATTTCATTTCTGTGGCACCATCTAATACGATGTTTCCACGATTCGTAATTCGCTCTCCCATTCGTCATTCGCCATCCAATTACCCTTCGCCATACAAAATTTTGAGAGCGAATTACCTCATTTGTAGGTAATTCAGATCGAATTACCCTGCGAATGACGAACGAATCGATGCCTTCTCTAATGTTTATCGGAAATATATCGAAGTTTTCACGGCCTGGTTCCATTTGCTGGCACTTTTTCTAGATCCTGCAAAACTAATTAATAAAATATCCTCTATATAAACTAAAGTCTTTTATAATAACTTAAATTTTTGCTTCATCTTCGATATTTGCAGTTCACAACAATAATAATAATTAGCGAAAAACAAGAACAAGAAGTAGAGCTGCCAAACGAATTACGAAATTGTGTGTCGTGGAAACAGGGTAATTCACGACTTACTTAGCAAATTACTTAGAGAGCGAATTACGAAGAGTGGAAGCATAGTATAAGCTTTCAAAATTTGAATCATTGGATTTATTTTGCTGACAGATGCCTAAGCGGTTTTCGTACTCAGTAAATTATTTTCTGTTGAAAAGTTTCGCGACGATTTTCCATAAATTACTTGCTTCGATACAACAGTATCATCTTCCCCCATGGTGAAACGAATGCAGAAGGTGGCGCTGATTGTGATACCGCTAACTCTCTATTGAAAATTTTGACAGAAGTGTGAGGTACATATACAAAACATATATGTACAAATATATGGACAGATCTCTCTCAGCTCTCTCCACCTGCAAATCTTCTTTGACGTCATATTCACGCGTTAAAGCCTAATTATGGCAACCTAACTTAACTTAACGGAACGTAGAACTTAGAGAATCAAAATGAAACAGATCTCGACGTGGCATTAAGTTACGTTAAGTTTCGGCTATTCAATTATAAGCAACACCCATTTAACAGAATTTTTACGAGAGAGCTGTAAGTTACGTTAAGTTGGCATAATCAGACCATTACTCTCCCGAATTTTCACATCAATCAGCGCAATATTGCGTTCCATCGGTCTTGCCTTCTCCTAGACATTAGAGCAGTGCGCCTATTCTTAATTGGACAATTAGGTTGTAGTTTAAGCCTGTTCCCTCACACTTAAACATAAGCCGGTAAATCAGAGTATAAGTCACGATATTTAAGTGTTGGAATTGTAAACCTTAAACCAAAATGGAATTCTGCATAATTTTAAAGCTTGAAAGCCAAGTTCTACATACCAACGTACATACATACTAATAAAATAACTGCTTTAAAAGCTATTATTTTCCGTACAACGCTCAAACGAACCGAGAACTGTTTAACCAAGCAACAGCAAATAAATTCCGACATTCCTTACGTGTTAGCGTTGAAGCCAGGACACGTTGTACAATAAACATTAGTACAGTGAAGAATTTGTAATGCTATGCGATGGCAGAAAGAAAAGAAAGAAAGGTGAGAATGCAGCAGCTTTGTAGAACGAATAGGAAAAAATAAAACTAAAAACCTTATGCGCAAACATTTCTATATAAGTAAGTATGTACATACCATAGGAATTAAAAAATCAACTGTAATGTAAGAAAAAAGGGCAAAATATAAGCCAACACCTGAAAAAGGTGGATACGGAAATATAAATATGATTGTATGGCACATGTAGAGCGTACATTAAAGGAGAAATATACATACATATATGTATATGTACATATGTATTTATGTCCGCGATGATATGCTAGAGCAAAGGATGTTTTGTGTGAAAATCTATGTATGTAGGTATGGCGAGTGAGACCGCGCACAAAAAGCAAAAAAAAAAAATTCATTACTTCAAAAAACGCTAAGGAGGATAAACTGATGCTGCAGCGCTTTCTATGTAGATCCTTTCATATCCTTTGTTGTATTTGTGATTTGCTTAATTTCCTAGAAATGAAAAATCTACGAATTAATTATCGAAGCAGTAAATGCAAACATTTCTACATACATACTATATGTACATATATTCATATGCACTGTACACATTCACATGGATTTATGTATAGGTAGGTACACACATATGTAAGTATGTGTGTCCTAGGTGTGGCATAGCTGGTTAAACCAATATTTATTTAGAAAATACACCTTGGCGCTTTAGTATGAGGTGCCACAGACGCTTAAATCCAGCGTCAAACAATTGACTAGGTGTATTAATGCAAATACTACCTAGCCAACCAACAGAGACTGCAAGGTGCACATTTAGGACTCTATGCGCGGTGCGCTTATGCCCCTAGGGAGGCTCCGAAAAGAGTTCCAAAGGAGCATATCCGCCGGAGAAAATGTGCCTTCTCAATATATATGAAAAAAATGTGTGCCTTTAGGACTCCTTAAATTAGTGATTTCGGAGTCCCAGATAGCTCCGTCAGATAATCCGCTAAGACTCCGTGCTGACTCCCCTATTCGCGTATGATTTTATGAAAAGGATTCCTTAAATGATCCAAAGATAACTTAGACGGGGTGTTTTGGGAGTGATCCGATAATAGACCGAAGAGGACGATTAACGGTTTTTCAAATTGCTCCTATTTTAATTTATAAGTATTTGAATTTTTTCACAATTTCTTTTTATTGAAAAAACTTTAAATTAAAGAAAATTATTTAACATATTAAGTAACCAGCAAAAAGAGAAAAGAATTATGAAATAAGTAAAAAACATTTTTTTTCTTTTTTTAAAGGCGTTTCTTTGAGGTGTGAAACCACTTTGCCTTGGTTCTATTGAATTAAATGCGCCCGAAGAGTTCTAAAGTTAGCCAAAAGTAATTTTGTATGAGTTACTGCTTAGCTCTCAATGCATTCGCAACTGCCATAACGTCAACAGTTTTTTTTTGCGGTGTCCTTTTCCAGGAACATTCGGAAGCGATGACCCCCTTCTGGATTAAACATTTAATTTTCATCTTACAGACTAGATGCAAATAAAAGAAAAACGAGATAACATGAAAACACTTTGATTCTCTTTTCCGAAAACACTCATTCGAGGTCTTGCTGTGGGAGTCCCTTATGACTCCATATTAAGAGCATTCCGACAACGCTTCCTCCAGGTGATACTGTTGGAATCCTTTTTTACTCCATATTTGGAGCCCCCCGAATTTGGCTAGCTGGGATACCACATGTACACATTACATAGGAATATATAAATATTGCGGTGAGTCTCATTAATGTAGGGTTTTACTAGAATTACGAGAGACTGGAATGTGCACCAATAGCATTTCCAAAAAAAAAAGAAATTTTTGTCTGCACTTGTGGGCAGTGTTGCCGCGAATCATTTTTAGTGGTAGCCAAATTTCTTTAAAAAAAGGGCTAAAAAAGAGCTAAAAAAAGTCGTTGTGGCTAAAAATGGTAGCTAAAATTTTTTACTTACATATGCATATATAATTTTACTTACAAGCCGAAATTTCATAATTTTTCTACCATTTTGTTAAACATTGTTTTTTTATTATTCACAACTGCAATATCGTGAAATTGAATTTTCCACAAACACGGCTTTGACTCATATAGTGCAAGAAATTTCCGCCAAAATACTTTTACTTAGAAAATTAGCTAACTTCACGACACCAGCATGCTGGTACAATCATAAAATTTTCAAATAGTTTTTGAAGTCGCACCAGCAGCT